TAGAGCAGAGAGTGGAGGTAGGTGCTGCAGGCAGTGTTTGGCATGGGGAAGGGCTCTGGGAAGCTGTCTAGCTTCTGCTACAGGGCTCTACAGCTCCAGTGTTTGAAGGAAAAGGATTTTCAGGGAGTGGCAGGGTAGCAGTTGCTGAGGAAGTGTCAGAGACAGGCCTCAAGCTCTGGTCCTGGCTCTGTTCTTTGTGCCCCTGTCGCTTTGCTCCTGTCTCCTGCCTGTGAAGTTTTCTGTCCTGGGAACTGTGAAATTATGAATGTGCTGACAGTTGTGGCACACTGTAACGAGCACCCTCAGAAAGCCTGAGGGGAAACCCATCACTCTGCATTTAGTTCTGAACTTGTGATTGTAACAAGTGAAGCTGAGGCAATGGGTTTGTACCTGGAGAAAGGAGGCATTGGAAAGCTGTCCAGGTCCCAGCCGGGAGGGAAGAAGGAAGACCAAAGTCCCATGGGAACAGCAGCACACAATGAATTAGTGTGTCAGAATGCAGATTCTCTAGGGGGCTCATTAAAATTGCCCAGGCTGTCTTAATCTGTGCACTGTTTTTGCTTCTGGAAGGTTAGTCTTGCTCAGTAATGTTCACTGAATGGTGATGATTAGCTTTTAAGTACGCTTGTTTGGGGGAGCGCACAGTTAAGGTCTGAAGATGGGATGAGATGAGCTTCTGTTGCAGATTCCCTCCGGGGCAGTCACTCCCATGAGCGTGTCTGTCCCTGCAGGCTTCTGGGGAGAAAGTTCGAATGACAGAGACACAAGTGCTGGTGGCTACACCTCAGAAACACTTACTTGCTGCAAGACTGAAGCTAATCTCCGAGCTGTGGGATGCAGGGATCAAGGTAAAGGTGTGGGCTTGGCTGGTATGGCTGAGGGAGGAAGGGTCTGAAGGGAGCTGTAGCACAGCAAGACCAACTCCGCTAGTTGTGTCTCTTCAAGATCTGGGCTTGTCTCACAAGGGCTTCAAGATGTGGGCTTGTCTCAGCAGGCTGAGAACAGCTGAGAGCACTAAAGGCAACTGCTTGCTGCAGGAGTAATGAGACCGTTTTCTGTGGTGTTTTGGTGCTGGCTGTTTTGTTCCAAGATCCATCAGAGCAAACTTTGCATGAATGATTTGCCTTCCCCACTCTCTCGTAGGCAGAGATGTTTTACAAGAAGGATCCTAAACTGCTGAAACAGCTGCAGTATTGTGAGGACATGGGGATCCCCCTCGCTGCCATTGTAGGGGAGCAAGAGCTGTCAGATGGCGTCGTCAAGCTGCGAGATGTCGCAACAAGAGAGGAGGTGAGAGTGCCTTTTTGCACCACGTTTCAAAAGTACTTCCAAAATCAAGGGATTACAGAAAGGCTCTGGCTTTTCCCTCAGTGATGGTGTTCCTTTGGGAAGCTGTAGCACAGATCTGTTGGGTAACTGATTCAGAAAACCAGTACAAACTGGGTTGGTATCCACAGCAAGTCCTTAGGGCTGGATTGAATCATGCTCTGCTCAGTGTTCCAGTGCTGCTACCTCCTCCTCTCTGTTTGCTTTGTAGGTTGATGTCCCAAGACGAAAGCTCATTGATGAGATCAGAAGAAGGCTGGAGCCCTAGGACTTTTCTGGCCAGAACTGCTTGACTGAACTGCTGTACAACTGTAACGGTTGGTATCCACAGCAAGTCCTTAGGGCTGGATTGAATCATGCTCTGCTCAGTGTTCCAGTGCTGCTACCTCCTCCTCTCTGTTTGCTTTGTAGGTTGATGTCCCAAGACGAAAGCTCATTGATGAGATCAGAAGAAGGCTGGAGCCCTAGGACTTTTCTGGCCAGAACTGCTTGACTGAACTGCTGTACAACTGTAACCCTCCAGTGCCCTTTTTTTTTTCTGGTCACCATCTACTAGCCTGAGGCTCATCTGCTTGGGCTAAGGCAGTGTCAACACAGGTGTCTGCTTGGAAGGAGCAAGGGGGTTTGAAAGTTATGGACAGTGGAGTCACCAGGTTACCCTTCTGGTTAACTGCTCTGAAGGAGGAGTCACACGGTACCTGTAACCATACAAGCCTTTCCGTCCACTGTAGGCAGTCATGGCGCTGGCACAGGCACAGAGGGACGTGGTGCAGCTCAAGCAGGATCATGCTGAGCTCTGGAGTAGGGGGTGGGACCTGGCAGGTTTGGTGCCTGCAGGCTCAGGATGTTGGGAGAGGGTGGCAATGGAAGGCCACCTCCAGCCCTCTGAGGGCTGCA